ATTTAATTTTAAATTTTAAATACAACCCCATTAATCTATTTTAATTTTTCCCTCTCCAATATTCTAATCCTGATTGAGACTGTCCCCCATATCATGTATCTATTGATTCATGGGCTGAAGCATCCATAGAGACATATTAGTATTGGGTGCCCGCTCAAATGAACCCAGAGCCAGATTCTGCATTTATATATGATTCAAATTTTTGCTAATACATTACACCGACTTTTTCAATTTTGAAAAATAACAAGAATCTTTCTTTACCTTTTTTTTTTATACTTTTATCCATATCTCGGTATGGAATATCAAGTCAGTCCAAGTATGAAGAAAATGATCTCTTTCAAAGAGCTTTTGAATTTGAGATTTTTTCTTAGCATGAATTTCATGCTCAAATGTATACTAAATTCTAACTTCCTTGCAGGCTCACTTTCACATAAGTTTCTTCAGCCCCTGTAGTATTTAGAGGAACCACTTGAATTAACATAAAATTAGGTTTTTTAATAGAAAATAGATCGTAGTAGCACCACTAACAAGTCCCCGTTTGTTCCAGTTTTAATTTTGGGACCAAAAGTCAATTTGAATTTCCATTAATATTTTCTAATGTAGGATAGAATCTCCGTTTCGTTAGACGTTGAAAAATTGCCTAAAATTATGTATGGAAAAAAATTTTGAGAATTTGAAGATACATTCATACATATCCAATTTCAAAAAATGCTTGCTGTAAGTTTAATATTTTATGTTGATTAATTATTTTAATCCTTTCGCATCTCTATACTTTCGTCTCTTTGCTTTGCCTGATCATGTGAAATCGTTCGCACCTCCTCCCTGCATTTTTTTAACAATTGTCCTTTTCATAATATCTTTTTTCAAATTTCTAGGATGTATTAATTTTTTTCGCTTATATTTATATTTAATGATTTTTTTCAACAACCTAATAAATGATTTTACCATCACAAAAATATAAACATTTAATTAAGGATAGATTTGAAAAATGGAAAAAATATTTAGACACAAGCACGTCACATCCTTGGTCTCTGTGATTTTGGCAATTGGGTATTGTATTTGGGGATGGGGAGAATGTTTTGTTTATATGAATGTTTTACAAGGCAAATCCTATTTCTGACAAAAAAAAAATCATCATGTGAAATTTATTGAACAAGCACTGAGGACAAATCGATGAAATTTTATTGAACAAGCACTGGTGAAAAAGTCCACAAAAACTGTAATAAACAGGCAATCAGGAGCCCAAATTTGGGGACCAAAAGGTTTATCAAGCAATCGTCGTTCTCAAAAGTCAAAACTGTCTGTCGGATCCATGAATAAAAGTTTAATTTACTTTTTATAAAATACAAATGGGAGGATAACATACACTAATACTTAAACCGTTTTCTGATGCATTTATTGCTTAATTCACATTATGCCCCTGTTAATTAAACAGTCATGTCTGGAAAGAATTTAAAATTTCTAAGATGTTTAACAAATTTTAACTTTTTGATCTAGTTATTTCGATTATTTATCTCTTATAAAAAGTAGGGGAGTAAGTTTTTTCAATATATTCTGGCCAGAAAAAAAGTTTTTTCAATGTTAATTTGATATATGCTTTATTAAACAGGAAATATTAATATAAAAATAATTTGTCTTGGATAAATATGTCCGTGGGCACATTTTGTTCTTAGACTGGGCAAAGATATTTTTCTGGGTTCTGATAATGGCTATGACAATCTCAACAGGAACCGCTATCTACCCAAGCAACGTCAAACATGGTGGGGAATCGCATAGGCATAACACACTTACTCATCTTCTTCAATTGTTAAAGGAACCTTCTGCAATCGACATGGCTCAACTCAAGCAAATTCACTCTCAAACGCTGCGTTCCATCCCTCGCGACCACCCACAGTACCTCTTCCTGTACAGCAGAATTCTCCACTTCTCGTCTCTTGCCGATCTTCACTACGCCACTCGGTTTTTCAACCACTTCCAGAACCCCAATTCCTTCATGTGGAACACCCTCATAAGAGCCTACGCCCGAAGCACCCACTTCAAAGATCGCGCTATAGAGCTGTACAGAGCGATGATGGAAAACGAGCGTGTCATTCCTGATAAACATACATACCCATTTGTTCTCAAGGCCTGTGCGTATATGTTTTATTTTTTTGAAGGGAAACAGATGCATGGGCACATTTTGAAACTTGGGCTTGAGTCTGATATTCATGTCTGTAATAGTTTGATTCACTTCTATGCGACTTGTGGGTACCTAGACTTAGCGCAGATAGTGTTTGATAAAATGTTTGAGAGAAGTAAGGTTTCCTGGAATGTATTGATTGATTCCTATGTAAGGGTTAGTGAATTTGACACTGCCCTGAAGCTGTTCATTCAGATGCAAAACGCATATGAACCTGATAACTATACAATGCAGAGTGTTATTAGTGCTTGCGCTGGTTTAGGTGCTTTGTCTCTAGGTTTGTGGGCTCATGCCTATATATTGAAGAAGTCTGAGATGGATATGGCTGATGATGTTTTGATTAACACCTGCTTGGTGGATATGTACTGTAAATGTGGGTCCCTTGAAATAGCTGAACAAGTCTTTGAAAGCATGCCTGATAAAGATGTAAATTCATGGAATTCGATGATTTTAGGTCTTGCCATGCATGGCAAGGCTGAGGCAGCATTGGATTGCTTTACCCGTATGGTGAAGACACACAGATTTGTACCCAACTCTATCACTTTTGTCAGTGTATTGAGTGCTTGTAATCACAGGGGTAAAGTTAACGAAGGGCTTGAGTATTTTGACATGATGATCAAAGAATATAATATAGAACCACGATTAGAGCACTATGGATGTCTTGTTGATCTTCTTGCTCGAGCTGGGCGCATAGAAGAAGCTTTGAACTTGGTTTCAGAAATGCCGATGAAACCTGATGCTGTAATATGGAGAAGTCTCTTGGATGCATGCTGCAAACAACAAGCAAGCGTTGAGCTGAGTGAAGAAATGGCTCAGCAGATCTTTGAGTCAGAAGGGAGTGATTGCAGTGGAGTTTATGTACTTCTTTCCAAAGTGTATGCCTCAGCTAGAAGATGGGACAACGTAGGGTCACTTAGACAACTAATGACTGACAAAGGTGTGACTAAAGAGCCTGGATGTAGTTTGGTAGAAATAGATGGTGTAACTCACGAATTTTTTGCAGGCGACACTACTCATCCCCAAAGTGAACATATATACAAGTTTCTGAATGTGATTGATGAGAAGTTAGAATCTATTGGGTATGCACCTGATTACTCTGGCGCACCAATGGTTGATGAGATTGATGATGGAAGACAGAGTCCGTTGAGGCTGCACAGCGAGAGACTGGCCATAGCTTTCGGGCTATTGAACTCAAAACCAGGTGTGCCCATAAGAATATTTAAGAATCTTAGAGTCTGCAATGATTGCCACAAGGTGACCAAATTGATCTCCAGAATTTACAATGTGGAGATCATTGTAAGAGATCGTATTCGGTTCCATCACTTCAAAGATGGAACCTGTTCTTGTAAAGATTACTGGTGAATGATGCTTCTATTCTGGTTTGAAGTACTTACTAGCAGATGCGTAAATAGCTAAAAATTCTGGGAAACTGTAATCTAAATAGTTATTGACAAAGATTGAATTCGCTAACGGCAAGGCACAATGCAGACTTCTTGGCGTGTTGCTGGATATACTCCCTCTTCTCAACCTGTTTTAGTCATTTTCAAAATTCAGCCCCACAAAGGACAAAATAGTCAGAACAACATAGGGCTTGAAAAACTGTTCTAAAAACAGTTTTTTATTTTTCAAAATAAAAAAATAAAAAAATCTATTTAGTAACGTGTTTTTAAAAAGTATTCTGAAAAAAAAAAAATAAAATATTATTCTAGAGAACAGAAAAATGAAAACAACTTTTAAATGTTTTGTGATTATTGTTCTGGAAAACAAAAAAAAAATACCTATTTTTATTATTTTTTATTCCCAAAACATATTCTACAAAATAATAATTCTCAAAATAATAAAATAAAAATAATTTCAAACAGCCTCATATTTTTTTGAATTTGCTTCCCTCTCGGGCGGGCGTCGTGGTTTGTCATTTCCAGAGGCTTACTACCTTTGGAAATAAAACCAAACAATTGAACCCGTGTGGATCCCCAGTCCCCACGGAGCAAAAAGAACAGATTACAGATGCTATCAAAGCACGTTTTACCTTAGAAGTACAGGAAGAAATACTCATTCCTCTTTCTAGTTTCATCAAATTTTATTTTTAGTTTCTATAATTTTTTTCAGTATTTTTAATATTTATAATTTTAAAAATATTGGGTGACATTTATTTTTTATATCCTTATAATTTCAACTTTTTCAGTATTTTTAGCTTCTATAAAAATTAAAACATTAAAAAAATTATACAGATTAAATATAAAATTTAATAAAATTATAGATATTGAAACTATAAAAATAAAAAATTATTTTTCCCAAGATTATAATGCTGAAAGGTCCTTTCGGTATTATCCAATTCGGTCCACAGGAAAAGAAGGGAATTATGAGAAGGTTTTTCCCGGACATGGTAAGCATGGCATGCCCCATCGGCCATTGCTATGATTTATGAAAAAGATCCCCCAAAAGAATCAACAGCGTTAAGACATGCTTTCTTATGTTTTGCAAAAGCTCTGATATGATACGCACTTGACAAGTATCAAAATATAGTTTTTTAATTACAAAAAAATCAATATATATTTGATATTTAAAAATCAAGGTCAACCTTTGTAGCCGATACTTTAAAGTGCATGGTTAGAGGATATATTCATGTTTAATCGCCGTAAGTGGTCAAAAATATCGAATATGTGTTGTAATATTTTTTAAAGTGTATGGTTAGAGATATATTCATGTTTAAAATTTTTTTAAAGTATTCTTATGTGTTTTATGAATATTTTTAACACACATCTCTATTACATTTGTACTATGCAAAGCTTTTTTCCCAAAGAATAATGTGAGCCGAAAATACACCGCTACGGAAAAAGTAAATTATAATTCCGATACAAGTTTAATTTTACATATATCCAACGATAACATCTGGCACTGGTTAACAAATAAATTGAATCAAGCATTTTGACCCCCAAAAAAAAAAATTGAATCAACCATGAAGCACATAACAAAATTACAAAACCACCCTACCCCTAAACCCTAGGACAGCCATTAATGATCCGATAATGCTGTTACGAGATACCATAATTCATACCCTTCACAATGGCGGCTTTAGAAATGCCTCCCTGATTAGAAGTCGAAACCTTTATGGCTATGCGTTCGGTTTTTAAATGCAAGGAGAATATGCGGAACTCCCCAACACATTCCCAAGTGCTTCCACATAAAATCTGAATATGTACATAGGCCTTGCTTATGAAAAGATCCAAAACAGCAACACTCTCCAGCTAGGCATCTCACAGTAAACCCTGTTCCTCAAAATCTCTTGCCACTGAAACATCACAACAACAAAGAGAATTAATGCAGAGTGTTAGGGCAACAAATAATAAAGCATGCATGATATATAAATCCCATCAGAACAAGAAGAAAGGAAACAACTTATGTATTTACATGTTTCAAACGTTACAGCATCAGAAGAAGACCTTTTTTTTTTTTTGCCTAGCATGTTCAGTACAAGCCAGAGATGCAACATCTTTTACAACCCAAATATGATAGTTGCCGAATCTATAAACTTCGATTGGAGAATCAAAATTAAAGAACTTAAGCCTGTTCTTAGAACAGAACAAAAATGTGAGAAGCGTATCAAGTCAGATGCTACTACTAGTAGCAAAATTCTGCAGAATTCAATGATATTAGACAAAATTCAAAAGAAAAAGCTTACCTTTAGAGGATGGAAGAACCAGAACCACCTGCATCGTAACATTGTTGGGAGGAAGCTGCAAGCGAAGAGGGTAAAGCTTTCCATTCAGAGGACTGCGAGTGCACACAATGATTCCCTCCAGCCCTGTCTCTTCCACAAACTTGCGAGTCAATTCCTCTACACTACTGCCTTTAAAGATCAAAGAATAGCCCTGCACGCCTTCATCATCCACATCGCCATTATCCTCTGCCACGTGGTAGTATATAGTTCGTCCCTCCATCTTCGGCGGCGAACCTACATTAGAATCAGTGGACTGCAAAACACACAAAATTCACAATTCAGATCGAACTTTCAGTCTAGACAGCCTACCCACATAATAAAAAAAAAAAAAAAAGTCTCGACGAATCTCACGAGTCATACCTCCTGTCTTGAAAAGGTCGCAGCTTTGATGGATTGAGCGGTTGGGGTGTTGGATTCGAAGTCCAGAGAATCCGAATGAGGCACGGGCGGAGGCGCGGGTTTCTGAATATGAATCTCGACGACGTCCACATCCCACAAGATCCAATCCTGTGTGGAAGTCCTATGGGGGATATCGTGAGTCACAGAGTTCCTCCAAGGCGGCAAGCCGCCATTGGCCCTGAGATAGTTCCCGTATCGGGTCTTGAGCTTGAGCCGAGATCCGTCTCTCACGGGTTCCCACTCGACGGAGGAATCGAGCCTGCGCGGCAGAGTCTGAAGCACCTTGCGACCCGTCATGCCGAGCAGGAATGGCTGGTTGGAAGCGGTGAGGTACTTGCCGTAGATGCTCTTGAGACGAATGATGTTGTCATAGCCGGGGACGTACTCGACGATCCATCGGCCGGCCTTGGAAGATCCGTTTCGGTCCTGGGCGACGGATTCCTCATCCTCATCGGCGAGGAGGTACTTATCATGGTGGCTGCGGAGGCGCACCGCCTTGGCGTTGTGAAAGAAGTCCATGCCGGACCTGAACTTGTTGGAACTTATCTGTAATACAAAAGAAGGAAGAAACAAGAATGTTGAAAGTTTCACACTTCGGAGAGAGAAAATGAAGATGCGAATCGGGTTGGTTTGCTCATATATGAGTGGGGAGAGAAACAAGGCGGGTGAGGAATGGCGTTGGGAACGGTAAAAGAAAGTGAGCGCGGGGTAGGATAGAGTCAGCGCCAGCCAAGCTGGGTCACACTGTACGACACGGTTGTGTGTTTATTATGATGTGCTTGGGTTTAGGCGGACGCGGTGATAGTTGGCCTAAGTTGTTATCTAATCATTAATAATAAATTAATTCATTGTTTGGTCCAAAAAGAAATAAATTGATTCATTGATTCATTGATTCCTATTTTGTATTTTTTTTAATTAGTTAGGGAGGTAATGGACGCAACATAATTGTTATTTATAGAGCGGAGAAATGAAAAATTGGCATTTCATGTTAAATCATTAATTTTTTATTTCAAGATTCTTAAATCCGTGCGTTGTAAATAAAATAAAATAAAATAAAATAAGAGCAGAGGGAGTATTATTTAGGTAGTAATAGTATAGGTGTATGTTTGGCGTGGATAGCTATGGAAGTGATGAGTGGGGGAGGGGAGGCAGGTGAGAGTGGCGAATATGAAATGGACAATGGAGGGTGGTGGGGTCCGCGTGAGGCGGCAAAATAAGAGCGGAAGAGGCGTGAGAAAGGAGGAGAGAGGGCCGAAACATCAAACATGAATGCAATGATGGAGGACAACTATAACTAACCCTTCCTTCTCATTTTGGGCAAGGAGCGGGTCCACTTCTTTTCTCTAATTCTCTCTATTTCTTCTCCATTTTTTTTTTAAATTGTGCTGTTTTTGTTAAAAAAAATAAAAATAAATAAACAAGTTAAAGATTAAATATTTTTAATTTTATTTTATATTTATTAAAATAAAAATTATAAATTTTTGATAAATAAAATTATAAGATTTTTATTAAATTTGATAAGCAATTTGAATAATGTAGATTTAATATAGATAGTTTAGATTTAATATTAAAACAGTTTATAATTTTAATATTAAATCTGTAATATCCAGAATATATTTAAATATTTAATTTATAAAAATTTAAAAAAGAATTAAATCTAATTACCAATTTGAGCAGTCTAAATTTAATATAAATAATTCAAATTTACTATTAAATTTGTATTGTCCATGGAGTATTTGGATAATTGTTGTCAAACTCTCGAGTTAATTTTTTAAATTTATTATTTTTACATTTCTAATTTATAAAATTGTATCAACTCATTTATAAATTTAGACTAAATGCAAACTCGGTTAACTCATTGATTTACTTTTCAAGTTTAAAGTTTTTATATTTCTAACCGAATAATATCAATTAACTTATAAATTCAAACTAGATGTAAATTTAATTAAACTCATTAGACTTGTTAATTTATTACCAAATTAAGTGAGTTAAATATATATTATGCAAAACTCAATCATAAAAGCAGTAGGACCTATTTCAAAAGAAAATAAAACTCAAATCAAAAGGTAATATTAATATAAAACAAGAAATAATACTAAAAATAAGTTGTCTTATTTTAAAATTTTTACATTGAGTATGATAATTTATTCATATAGATGAATTTAATTTCAACAATTTATATTTAAAATATATTTAAATTAAATTATGATTATATTTTACATTTTAATTATTTAATCATATACTTTTAATGACTATTTATTAATAGAGGTAGGAGATTTTTATGAATTTATGAACCAAGGAAATATCTTAAAAACATTTTATATCAAGGAAGTGAGGGAGCATTCATAAAACAAGTAATAATAGATTAGAAAGGGAAGGAAACGACAAACAAGTACCTCATAAAAAAAATTAATTCCAAATAAATATTTTTAAAAATTTTAAAACTGAAATAAAAAAAACAGAGAGAGAAGCACAAAAGTTGAGAAGTTCAATTGTGAAAAAAATTTTAATTTAAGGTTAATATTTTTATAAGATTTTTATTTATCATTCTGCTTTAGAAAAAGATATTAAAGAGCCACGCTATTGGGTGAGGTGGCGTGGCTTGTTCGCGTTGGAGACATATGGTGCGAGAAGGGAAATCAAATCCAAACGCTATAATCGTTAAAAAGGATCAACAAGAAGGCTCCCAAGGGTGTTAATACGCCAAACTTGCAACGAGACTTTTGCTCCTATGATTGTGACCAAAAGCATGACCCACTCTAAATTAAAAAAAAAAAAAAGGGTTTCAATTTTCAAGCTTCCCTCTTTTTAACAATTTTTATGTCTCAAAATTTCACCAATCCTTTCTCTTGTTTTATATTTTTTCCTTAAAAAAATCTCGTTACTCCCTACTTTAACGACAAGACTTTGCATTCTCTCACGTCTCCCATATCAAAAGAAGTCTCGCATCAAAGTTTGAATAATTTGATTTTCTAATGTTAACGCGTCTTTAATTTAAAGTGAAAACCAATGTCACAAGCAATAAAAATCTGCATGCCATTTCTTTTTCCCATTCACTTTTTCCAATCTGATTTAATTACTTTCAATCTATTTTATACATATTTCACTTTAAAATGCTTGGATTTAAACTTAAAGCATTCCATAAACTTCAATTTACAAGACATATAGAAATAAAAAATTGCACTACAAGAACATGTTTAATTGGTTGTTTTTGCAAGATATATATATCCTTATTTTTACAAATTTTAATAAATAAGTTGCTTATAACTTGTATATTAATATAATGCAGCTTATGTATTTCAATATATAAACATATAGACACATCCATACATATCACGCCAAGTTTAAAATACTACATGTATATTTATTTATTTAAAATCCTTGGTCACCCCATCAATCACACTCCCTTTCATTCATGTATTCATTAATTTATTTTTTAATTTTTAATTTGCGCGACCAAGCAAGTATTGTTGAAGAGGCACGTTGTTATTCAGATAGTCGAATGAATTCACAAGGAAACTAGTCATTATAAACCGATCATATTTGCAAGAAATAGCATCATAATTGTTGCAAATTATTGAGCTATTTCATGGAGCCAAGCTTGATTAGTGCTTTTTTTTTTTTCAACTTTTCTTTTGCCAACAAGCCTGATTAGTGCGTTTAGTGCGGCCTTAAACTTTGACTTCTACCATCTATGGAGTCTTTTTCCCTTGGCCAAGCAATTAAAGTTTGAACCTTGCTTTCCTTAATTAAGAAATCTTAACTATTATTATGAATTTAATTTTCGTAATCTTTAGCCTTTAACGTAATCAATAAACCGTAATTTCGATTCAGTTCGTCCAAACCAATTCAGCTCCAAAATCAACTTCGCTTAAGCAAATTATTTTTTGTCCCAGAAAGTAACATGGCAAAAACAATGAACAAATTAAAGCATGGTCACGTACCTGCAACTTAGAATTCCGTCTCGGCGAGGAAGCCAAGGAGAAAACCGACATTGGCGACGACGGTTCCGAACCGAAATTCTCATCGGAAACAGAGGACGACAAGACACTCTCGGAAAACGAATATTCCAGCGCCTCCGGCAATTCGACCGCCTCCACATCCCACAGAACCCAATTGCTCGTCGACGAGTAGCTATGGGGTTCATCGTGCGTGACGGAGTTCCTCCACGGCCGCGTCCCGCCGTTGCCCCTCAAATACTTCCCACACCAACTCCTCAGCCTCACCTGAAATCCATCTCTTATCGGCTGCCACTCGAACTTCCAATCCGAATCCGTCTCGAAATCGCTCTGAACAACTCTCTCTCCGGTCATCCCCAACAGAAAAGGCCTGTCCGTGGCCGTCAAGTACCGACCATGACAGCTCTTGAGCCGCACAACGTGGGTCTTCCCTTCCACTAATTCCACGACCCATTTGGCCCTCCTGGACGACCCGTTTCTACTCTGCCGGACCTTTTCACGACCGTCGTCCGCGACAAGGTACTTGTCAAGATGGCTGCGAAGCTTGACAGCGCTGGCTTTGGCGAAAAGCTCCATAGTTAAATCAAGACTTACAAGGAAAGCTCTATAAGTTTACGAAGTGGTGACGAAGTTATTATAATGATGAGATTAGTAATGGAAGAGAGAAAATCAGTGAAAGGGTTAAATATGGCGGGGCGTGATTTGGAGGTATTGGTAATGAATGAAGATTGAATGGTTTTCTTAATGGAGACGATTTGGATGGGAAACGCAGGTCAAGAGGGTGAAGGTTCGGGGCAGTACAAATGTTAGAGACAGAGGAAAAGATGGGGAAGGGTCTGCGTTGAAACTTGAAAAAATCAAAGTCTGGAACTAAAACTGGCGACGGAGGAATGAGACTGCCAATCCCTGGTAACCAGGTTAAGTTAATTTTTAACTGGAAACGGTTTTTGTACTGCGGCGTGCTTGTGCAGGCATGCTCCAAGCCTTCAACATGTTTTTTTAAGGGGGCAAAAAGGATAATGAAGAGAAAAACGTCTTTTATATATATATATATATATATATATATATAAAGAAGCAAAATCCAAATCAAAGAGACAGGGACGCATTTTTCCCAAACAGTGCGGTGAACTAGTGTTTTAGTGTGTGTTGAGAAATTTAGATAGGCTCGGTATATCACATATCACGTTATTCATAATCCATCAACTAAAAACATAATATTCAAATAACATTAAATATAAATTAATTATGATATTAATAATAGTGAAGATAGAAAAAACAAAAAATTAAATAGGTGTTCTATGATAAAAATAAAATTATTGAAAATAATGACACATAAAATTTTATTTAATAGAATTGATATAATTTTAATAAATGAATTATGAATGATGTAATACACTGGATATAACTAAAAATTTCTTGTGTGTGTTTGGGAACTCATCCTCAAGACATATTTATCTACTGCTTTAGTTAAATTTTTAGATATAATTTCCTGATTTTTACTAATTTGTTTTGTAGTAATTGTTTCTCTCAAATTGAATTCAATGGGATAACTAAATTGAGGTAAATTCCGCTTTTCTAATTCTTTTATTATTTCTCCCAAACTCATCTTTGCTAAATCTCTTAAATTCAAACTTTATACATGTATGTATGTATGTATTTGAATTAGAAGAGCAGGTAAGTACTAATGGCCTAAATTATTAGATAGCTAGATTGAACTTCCCACTTACAACAAGCTTAGCCACAAAGGCCACTGACCTTTAACATTAAAAAAATATACCAGCTTAACTAAAAGGTAATTTCAATTTTCTGGCAAATAAAAAGTCAAACAAACAAATCATGATGAAGTTATTGAAAAATAACTTGGAAAAAGTATGATTAATTAGAGCGACAGCCTGTAATTAGTTTTGATTGGGGTGTAGCTTGTTGATACATTTCCAAAATAATCCCCTTATTTCCCCCTTCTTTTCTCTTCCAGAAGTCGTGCGGGCATGATGCATGCTAGCTAGCGGAGCTAAAAATGGTTTTTGTAGAGTCATTGTGCTAAGTAATGTTTGACTAAGGTTCTTGGCTTAGCACGTGCTAACGGTTCTTGTTAATCATGCTTCTTTAGGACTGTTGTTTCTATGTTGTTCTACTATGCTTCTTATTATCGTTTGTCTTTATTTCTCTGTCTGTATGTTTATGAAGGTTTCGTGTATCCTTCTTCTCTGTGCAATGAATATATTGGAGTATTTTAGTTCATTGGTTTTATAGGAATTGGACCATTTAATTTTTATACATGTATGATCCACAAAAATGAAACTCATTGCTTTATTTCCATGTCCATCTACTTCAATATAATGCGTCCCCAGTGCAATAATGCTGTTTTCAATAATTAAGGACAATAATGCATCTTAAAATTAGCCATATTAAATTTAATTTATTACTTTCTTTATCTCAAATTATAAGACATTTTTAAATAAAATCTCATATCAATAAACCTCATTAAATATACTTAAAAATATGATCTTTTTAAAAAATATAAACTTTTAAAAATGCTCCTTATTTAATATTTCAAAAAAAGAATTGATAGAAATTAATTATAGAGAAAGAAAGGATAAATTTAAAATTAATATATTTAATAAAATCTTAATATACTTAAAATATTTTATATTTTGAAATTAAAAATTTTTTTTAAAAGTATTTTGTAATTTGAGATGTAAGGAGTATATAATAATCAATGTTGAGACTTTGGGAGCTGTGCAAGTGAATTACTAGTAACATAGCCTTGAATTATTAATGCATGGAATATCAAATTCATTCTAGAAGTGAGCTTCGAAAATAATAATATTTTGAGGAGGAAAAATGGAAGCGTGTCTTTTGGGGGAAAGCTGACTGGGAAAGCATCTTCGGTTCGACTTGAATTTCCTTCTACGTTTCTTATTATTAAAGTACTGCGAAACAGAGCATAGGTACTCTGTATGTTTTCGGCGATGGCATTATTTTAAACAAGTCACAATTTTCCAAAGACAAATGCTTGTAGAATTGTTTAAAATTAAAATACAATAAAGAAAATGTTGGATAACTCTTGTGTTGGCGTACGACAAAAAAGTAGAACAACTTAACCTTATATTTTAACTTTAGTAAAACGAGGGTCATGCTTCTGCATGGGACTTGAAATAAGTGGCACCGTTCACAACTTAAAGCCTATTTGACTAACCCTAAAAAATATATACAGATTACATTTGAAATGTATTTTTATCAAATTTAATAAATAATTGAATCTTCTAAATGTATTTTTAACATATATAAATTGAAATCCAAATGGGAATTTACAAATACGCCAACTCCACACGCTCATAATTTTTTTATATTTATTTTGATACTAAATAGTATATAAGATTCTCTCTTTGTGTGTTTTTTTTTATATATGTACTTGGCTTAAAATCAAACGTTATTGGGTTTAATTAGAAATAATTTTTTCAAAAAAAAAATCGTTGAAATGGACTCAAAACACAATATCCTGTATTCAGTGGTTATAGTCCCTTTCAAAAATTTCAAGGCCTGGTGGTAAACTGTTTTTTCTCTTAATTATATTATGCACTTCCACAATGCTTATTTGGAGCCCCAAAAAGGGCCGGGTGAAACGGAGCCCATAAGTTTTTTCGGTATGTAAACGAAGCCCATAAATTGGAAACGTGCGATGAGAGTGGAGCCCGATTGTAAGCTCAGCTCACTAAGAAAAGTCAAATCATGATGTTACAGCAGCGAGCTCCCACCCATAAATGCTACGACGGTGGTGGGAGCCTCCCGCCAAGACATTCTTTTCGCACGGTGTATGTATATATATATATATATATATATCAAGTTTATATCATTTTAATTTATTTTGTTTCATTTTAATTGTTAAGAGATAAATAAATCATCTCTTCTGACCTTTTTTAGTTTCTGTAATAAATATTCACATGGACAAAAACAATGAACACACAAATCATTGAATAATTGTTTGTTATAAAAAGGCTTTAAAAATCTGATTGAATAGATTGGACTATCTATTGGAGTTGTTAACAGCTTAATTTTAATTTTAATTTTTTCATAGTTGAGTTGAGAATAGGTTAGAGTTGGGCTGCTATTAAACTAAAAATTAAAATAAAAAAAGAAGCCAAAACAATTTTTAGAAAATCAGACATGTCTAAACATAATATAAAAAATTTGAAAAACCAGAAAATTTCAAAAAATTAGATTCCTATTAAAGCCAACCTCATTTTTAGATATTTAAATATGATTTAACAACATTTTCATATGATGAATCAATGTCAAAATCAATATTGTAAAATTTATCCTCATATATCACCTGCATAAACCTAGCCAACTTATTAACAACTAATGTCGGCCAAAAAAAAAAAAACTCTATTAACAACTATGGATATGGAAAGATGGATAATTGAAACGTTTTATTTTACAATTTTTATAAAATAATAGGTTTGCTTTACAAGAATGGATAACTGAGATTATAAAATTTTAATAAAAAATAAGATATTAGAGGACAGAGTAAGAAAGATTAATTAAATTTTTTAACTATACTCCTTTATTTTTTATAAATTAAATTCATTGAAATCTTTCATCTTTTGTTCTGAACACATCATGTCTTCGCTCCGCGATTAACTCCACGTGTGTGTCTGCATGAGTGAGAATTACCAAATGGGACATAAGATGGTGGCAATCATCCAAAAGACCAAAACGTAATTGCCCGTTGAAAACGTAATGCCTTGTTTGGTTTCCATATATATATATATATATATATATGAAGGGGTATTTGTCAGTTTAAAAGCAGTGTAATTAAGAGAGAAACATATTTTAAATATGAAAGCTGTATGATTCCACAAATGAGCCGACCATCATTAAAGAGGAAGACTTCCAAATTCACAGGTCAGCTACCACATCCATGCCATATCATTACAGTCAACATTGGTACAGAAATATGTTTGGTAAAATAACTTGTTTATTACCATCTGTAGCAAAATTACTCATTGTTAACCGACCAAAACTCAAAGTTTAATATTTAAATACTAAAATATAATAGTTGACAAAATATTGATTCAGTAGGTAAGAATTTCATGTATAATTTACAAAATCATGAAATCAAATTTAATAATTTTGTTCGTTGGCAACATGTAAATGCACCTTTTTCAAGTATAAGACTAAAAATTATGTGAAAAGGCAAAATCAAGTCATGACAAAAGTTACAGGTTTTTTGCACCCTAGTGGTGAATGATTAGCCATTTGCATATCTAAATCGCCACAAGATATTTTGAGGACAAGCAAATCAATACATATATTTATTTTTTTGAACACATGATGAAAGGTGATTGTCTGAACTTTTACGATAATCTCTTTGATAATTTTTATGAGGCGATGTTTTTCAGAAAAGTTGTCCTAAATGGATGATAAAGCTAATGTAGAGTTAAAGTATACATTAGTTTGGTGAATTTAACACTCCAACCAAAAAATATAACCCAATAAAATATACTTATGGGTTGAGTTGTTATATTAGGGTGATACTTAAAATATTTGAGAAGTCTCTTGATTTAATTCCACAAGTAACAATTTCAAAAGATGCTAACTAAGCTATCAATATCCAACTTGATTCATTCTAATTTTGTAGGGATCCATTTAACTTCAAATCTAATATTTTTTTGGTCAAATGATTGATTTTTTTTTATCTAAGTTTTAGGTTGTTGATTATCTTTTAGGTGCAAATAAATGCAGTATCACTCTCCTAACTATCTTTTTTTAGAGTGAATCTTCTTACATCTAATTTTTTAAATGTTCCGACATGCATGAGCATAATTATCCTTGTGCATGGGCTTTCGCTTCATTTTTAACATTTCAAATTACTCAATTACACAGGAAGATAATAAGATATTAAGCTTAACAATTATCTTTCAAACACCCTAAACTTCACACAATGTATGAATTGAAGAGCAAAGAATTATAATAAAGAAGTAGGTCTGTTGGTAGGAAATACTTGTATTAATAGTTATGAAAGGGCAAGACTTATATACTCACCTTTATATATTTAATATACTTTCATCTAATTAAATCAATATATGTATATTTTAATATGTTAATGATATTAATAACAAAAATTTACTATAGAATAAGTAATTTATAATTAGTACTGGGTAAACGGGTTGCGGGCCAGCCCGCGTCAGCTAGCAGTTTTGCGAGTTGGATTGGGCCAGCCTGCCAGATAAAACGGGTTGAAAAATCTAACCCAACCCATTTTCTAGCGAGCTAGTCAAGCCCGAAAAAAAATTATTAATTTTTTTTAATAATTTAAAATTTATACAATATAAATATATATATATTTATTTCATATTTTAAAGCAAATTAGCAATTAAAAAACTTGTAAATAAATAAAATAAACATAGAATTCAACCAAGCAAATTCATTTTGCTAGATTTTTACTATTAATCATCTTCTCACCTAGATGTGCTATCTTTATCACTAAGAAAGAAAATTTAAATATAAAGCCATATTATTTTTCTTAGTGAATTTATATTTATAATTTTAATTAATAGATCTTATGAGATTTATAAATAATATATATTTAAAATATTTTTATAAAAACTAATAAATCATCTTCATAAACTATAACAAAAATTTTATTTGCAAATTATAAAAAAAATTTACACTATATTTCAAATGTAAAGAACATATTTGAAAGTCATAAATTACATATTTAAGAGATATTATCATTATTACATATTTATAAAAAGATATAATATAATTAAAAAATAAAAAATTATATTTTAAAAAATATGCTAGCCCACGAACTAGCCCGTTTAGCCCACGGGCTAGCTCGTTTTAGCTCGCTATTTTTGTGGGTTGGGCTAACCCAACCCGTTTTAAAAAACGAGCCAATTTTTTTAACCCAACTCGTCAAATTGTGCAAGTTAAACGGGTTAGCCTATGGGCTCAACCTATTTTTTCGGTTCTATTTATAATAGATACACATATTTTGATTTGTAGATGATCTTAAATATCTATCAATACTTTTTAAATTTAGAAGCATGTCTTAATTTTAGTGAGTATTTAGAACCCCACTTTTAAATTTGTTGTAAGAGAAAATAATATACTTGCAAAGTAAGTCCAACAAATTGGAGTTCCTACAACCTGGTTCAATTTGATTCGATTAAATGAATTAAAATATACTCTTTTCGTTAAAAAATATAAGATATTTTTTAAGGAGTTGGATGTTGAATTGGATGTTAAAAAATATAAGACATTTTTAGTCTTTTAAAGTATAATTATTATCTGTTTTAAAAAAGTACCCCTATTGATAATGACTTTATAATTATTATAGGTTGTTTAATAAAAATAAATATAAAAAAGATAAGATTAGTTGAAAAGTAGATAACTATTTTATTGAAAGTGAAATTCAGACTAAAATACTTTATATTTTTAAACAAAAAAAAATACATGCATCTATATTTAAATTTTATGAGTTTCCATGCTCTCCAAAAGGGAGGGGGGGAATTTTATAGATGAGTTGAAATAAGAGGTTCTAAGCTCATCATCAAAGAAATATAAATATAATAATTTCTGCATTAACTCATGACTGAAAGTCAAAAGCATGTGATTAGCTCATCAATTAGATGTTGAAGTAGTTCTTCAGCATTATCGTTGTATGAAATATAAAGCTTACCTTTGTATTTCTTTTTTTTTTTAAAAAAAACTCTCTTGATTAAAAATGTAAAATATTTTTTTAAGAGTTAAATATTAAAACATGTAAAATATTTTTAGCATTTTACTTTATTGAGATATACAGTTATATTAAATAAATACTCCAATCAATCTAAAATATAAACATCTTTTGATAATAATATATACTCCCTTCATTTAAAATTATAAAATATTTTTTGAGTGATTGGATGTCAAAAAATATAAAATATTTTGAGTTTGTTAATGTGTAATTATTATTTTTTTAAGTATTCTTATTAAATAAATCATTTTATATTTATTTCAAAGTGAAACACATATTAAATAGAGATAAATCTGAAAAGATAGAATTAATTTAAAAATAAATAATTATTTTATTGGGACAAAATTTAATTGAAAATACCATACATTTTTTAACGAAAAAAATATATCAATATAATCCTTATTATCATAAAAATATATACTGTTTTTTTCATTTTACCTTCAGTTTCAAATTATAATGGATGAGTTGAGAAGAAGATTATAAATTCATAGATGTGAGAATCCAAATTTATAATAGAAGGCAAAAATATAATTTTTTTTATAAACACTAAGTTATTATTATTTTTGATCAAACTTAATTCAAAGAAAATATTTATATTTTGAATTGAAAATAAGATGGGGCTATTACAGATATAACTTATAGAACAAAATCAAACAAATAGCTTAACATTTATTATATTTTATATCATAACTTATTTATTATATTTGTAAATAATATACCATGAATGATAAACTTTTTATAAGTTTTTAATATTTTAATGATAAATTTTTTATATATAGTAATGATAAATATCTTGTATATTTATATGAATTGATTATACTTTTAAATTTTTAAAAATTTAATCCATATTTTTTAAATATAAAACTTTTTTACTCAGTGAGGTAATTTATCCAAAAATATATTAAAAGTATTTCTCCAATCTTAGATATTAGTCATCTTTTTAAAATATAATACGATTCAATTTATAAATTATTAGTTAATGAAATTGTCTTGTTTTAAATTAAAATTTTTAAATTATTTTTGAAGGATAAGAAGAAATTTTAAAAATAATATTATATTATTTATTTAGTTTTTATTTTTTACTTAAATATTATATTTAAAATTTTATTTATTTATATTTATTATATTTTTATTATATTGGTATTAATAAAATTAATAAAAATAATTTATAAATAAAATTGAATGAAGTATTTATGAAATATCCAGGAGAACGCCATTGAAAATAACATTACCTCGCTTGACGGGAAACAATAATCCTTGGGCCGTTGAGCGAGTGATGGAATAAAAAAAAAAAAAATAGTAGAGAAGTCATCTCATCAGTCATAATGTAGGGCCCCCAGGTCTCTCTTATGAAGCGGCCCCTCCTGAGAGTTTTTTGTCTTCAGTCTTCGCCTCTCTGCTGCACGTGAGTCTCTCTCTCTCTCTCTCTCTCTCTCTGTGCTTTCAAACTCACCCTCCCTCTCCCATTGCCTACATCTTTCACGATTCAGATCTCTTAGCTCATTCATGATTCCTCCCACCTCTACTCACTCTCCTCCATGCCTCCTCCTTCACTCTCTCCCTTCTTCGCTCTCTGCCTCCTCCTCTCCTTCCTCTCCCATCTAGCTTCTCCTCACCCTTGCTCTTCCCACCCCCACACTTCCTCTCCCTGCCCTCCTTTCCGTTCAATCCCTCCTTTTCCTTTCTCTTTCTCACTTGGCTGTGGCCACCCTTCCTTCCAAATCAACTGCTCTACTCCTCATTCCCTCATCTCCATCAACAACTTCACTTTCTCCGTTCTTCGCTATAACCCCAATTCCTCTTCTCTCACCCTCTTGCCTAATCTCCAACCTACAAGCTCCGCCGCCCCCGCCTACACAAATTGCTCCACTCCTCACTATCTTTCCCTTCTCAATCGCTCTCTTGATCTCTCTGGCTCGCCTTTCAGAATCTCCGATGCTTTCTGTTCCCGCATCTCTAATCTCCAAGCTTGCTCGCCTCCCCCTCTCCCAAACTGTAGCCACTGTCCTTGGGAATGTAGTCTCATCAAGAACCCGGCTCACGTCCTCCGTGACTGTGGATCTGTCCATCATTCCGTTTCAGACTTGGAGAATCGCTGCCAGAGTGACGTTTTAGGGTATCTTGACGACATACTTGCTCGAGGGATCGACGTCGAGTGGGATGAAGCTCAAGATCCTTACTTTTCAAGCTGCAGAAACTGCAGCGCCACCAAGGGAGTTTGTGGATTCAATTCATCCGACCCGCATGACCATTTTATGTGCATTCGGCCCGAATCCGAATCTAGTTTCACGCCTGCTTGGATTCAGAGGGTGAATCCCAAGCGTAACGCAGTTTTGTCCCTTGTAATCCCCTTAATGTTGTTGTTTCTTTTTGTTTCTATCGCTGTTGCAATTTTCCGCTCGAGGAGATTCAAGTCATCGAGGACAGAGGAGGACCCGACAATCCTTTTTCTTCACAACCAGCGCTCCGCGAGTCTTCTTCCTCCTGTCTTCACCTACGAGGAATTGGAGGCGGCCACTAATCGGTTCGACCCGAAACGCAAAATTGGCGATGGCGGGTTCGGGTCGGTGTTCCTGGGTCAACTCTACGATGGCAGAATCGTCGCCGTGAAATACCTTCACAAGCACCACGCTGAGGCCGCCGCGGGACGAGCCTTTTCCACCAAGTCTTTCTGCAACGAAATTTTGATTCTTTCTTCCATCGACCACCCGAATCTAGTCAAGCTTCATGGGTATTGCAGTGACCCGAGAGGATTGCTTCTGGTCTACGACTACGTCACCAACGGAACTCTCGCAGATCATCTTCATGGCCCCAAGATTTCATTCCGAAAAGGGTCTCTGACGTGGCAAGTGAGGATCGATATTGCTCTACAAACGGCATTAGCCATGGAGTATCTTCACTGCTCTGTTGTGCCGCCCATAGTTCATAGAGACATCACTTCGTCCAACATCTTCGTAGAGAAAGACATGAGGATTAAAGTTGGAGACTTTGGACTGTCTAGGTTGTTGGTTGTGCAGGATACGTCATCGTCGTCAACTGGGTTTGTCTGGACGGGGCCCCAAGGTACACCCGGTTACCTGGATCCGGATTACCACCGGTCGTTTCGGTTAACGGAGAAGAGCGACGTATATAGCTTCGGAGTGGTGCTGTTGGAGCTGATTTCCGGGTTAAAGCCAGTGGACCAGAGCAGGGACAAGCGGGAAATCGCGTTGGCCGATCTGGTGGTCTCGAGAATCCATATGGGTCAACTGGATCAAGTAGTGGATCCGTTTCTGGCGAAGGACGAGGAAGCGATGGACACCGTCACGGCGGTGGCGGAGCTGGCATTCCGTTGTGTGGCGGCGGACAAGGACGACCGTCCTGATTCGAAAGAAGTGGTGGAGGAGCTGAAGCGGGTACGGATCCGGTCACGGGCGGGGCTCAGATCGACGTCGAATTCCCACGCAGGTGCTGAGGTGGCAAAGAACTATGAAGTGAAGGGCTCTGGATTGTGAGATGGATGGGCCAAAATAGTGAAATGCACTGTGGAGTTTGACCATCTCAGTTCGCCTTTGTCGACTAGTCAAATGGGCACCACGAGGACGATAATTCCACGTTGGACTTACTCGCACGGGGGTTTTGTTTCGTTGGAGGAACGTGTCAGTGACGCCTCCGTACGAGTTTTAAATTTGCACCAGAGCCTTCTGCAAACTACTTCTGCTGATGTCATCTCAGAATATTTGAGTAAAATATCAAGCACATTTCTTGTCACTGATAAGGTGCCGTTTAGATTGAACCCTTTTTTCGTTGGCAATTTGTAAATTAATATGCGAGTTTAACCCTTTCCCGAACTTTCCAAATCTTGGAATTTATGAAAAGGAAAAACTAGTCTTCTTCAATCTTCTTTAGAAGTGATTTTTACTAATTTTATTGATATCAATGCCAAAAAAGAAAAAAATATATAAAAAATGAGTGTTAAATTTTAAATCTGTTTTTATATAACAAATTTAAAAAAAATTATCTTTTTTTTTTCACTGAAGACTAATTTTTAAAATATTTTTTAAATAATACTTAAAAAATTATATCATGAAGTAAACTTTTTAAAATGTGCGGAGGAGTACATATATTCTATAATCGTGCAACTCTGACCCACCATTTAGTTATTTACGTAACTCGTGTCATGTTCAGCAAATCTCGTCCTTTGAAAAGTCCTCAGAGATTGTGGTACTTGACTATTTCGCCCGCAAAGAGGCTGGGGAAAAGCAAAGTGTTGGAGTTGGTACTGGTCAGCATTTCGGTAAGCCATTGGCAACGCAACTTCATGAGTTCATGGCGTGTGAACAAAGCAAAGAAGATATCTATCTCCATGACTTTCCCGTGATTTGCGCTCAGAAAATGACCCGACAGGGCTGCCATGTGTCAAAGTCAACAAGAAGCACACGGCACTGCACATGCTACAAGGTTTCACGGCCTCCAAAGATGCAAAAAAGCTACACCTTTTTTATCTTTTTCCTAATTAATATTTTACACACCACTCCTCTTCTTTTCTGCAACGATAGTTGCACTTTGCTAAAAACAAACTTACTACTCAACAAGAATGGTTCATTTCAAGGAAGCCGATTGTTCCTTCATTAGAAGTATGCACCCTCCAAAGCCCTGACCCTTTCGTTTGCTTTGCCGGCTTCTGGCCTGTTCTCTAACTCGTATGCTCTCTCCTGGTACAACATTTGAACAGTAACGATGATAATTAACAATAACAATAATCATGGTTTAGAACAGCCATTTGAGAAAGGCTCTCCACTCTAGATAAGGCAAAGTGGCACACTGTACCAGCAAGCGCCACAAGAATGGAACTCCTTCCCTCTTCTTGATTTTCTCCTCAATCACTTCGATTGCTGCATTTTAGTTATCATAGTCAAAATTAACTGCAAGGTTTGAACTTTGAATTACAGCGGAGTTCGAGATCATACCCTTCATAGTTTCTCCGGCGTTCAGTAACATCATGTACCAAACTTCATTGAACACTTCAAGTTGTTCATCTGACGCTCCAATCATCTTTATATGACAAAGGACTTGGTATTGTCAGAGAGGAAATAGGCTAAACTAAACTGAAGCATCAGTAGATTCTGATCTAATCATTACAACCTTGCAATCACAGGCATCAAAATCAGAACCAAGTACTTCCAGTCCTTGCCTGTCGTTACCTTTCCCGTATGCATGAAGAGCTTCTGCAAGCTGCTCTAAAAAACGTCAATAGAAGGGACAGTTTCAACCATAAAAGAATAATGGTAAGAATACACTTGCATGAGGAAGGATCCCATATTTATAGTAACTTCTATTAATGTTAATTATTGAAGTTTGGAAAGGTTGTTGACAATATGGACAAACCATGCACTCGCCCATTTTCTTCAAGGATTCCAAGATATGGATACCAGGCCAGTATGAATTAGGAAGATTAGGGGACAAAGGGGCGGAGACAGCGATAAAATAGTTATCCATAGAAACTGTAGTCCCATTTGTCCACGCTTCCGTACAAAAGCGGCTGTATTCATACTCCGCCAGCACCACATAATGAGTAATGCTTCAAGCACCTAATTGATTGCTCTATGTAAACCATCCAAAAGTACAGGATGACTACAAGTTATGACAATTAACAATTGATGACTACACTACCTGTGGGAAGAGACTCAAACTTTTCCTCGATACATTTTCTGTAATATTATTGGTTAAGATTGCAATGAAAAAGCCTAATTCACCAAATTAAAAAAAAAAGAAGGGTGGAATGAAATCGGGTTGTCAAATATCTGGAGATTCTCAATGAGCAGTTAAAGATCATGAATACAAGACGAAAGCATTTTTCACATATTCATGGAAGCAGCAATCAAGGGCATACCTGCATTCCTCTCTGCATTGATTGTTGCTTCTTTTTGCCCATCCTAGAAATCCTACAGTAAGAAGAAAATTTGATCAAATAATGCATAACACATCATCTCTACGTAAGTTTCTTTGAGAGACAAGATGACACTTCTACCTGTATTTTAAGCCATTTAGAAGATCATCAGCTCTGGAGAATTTTCCAGTCTTTGCCAAAGCCCAGACGGTCATTATATCAAGGTGCCACTCTATATACCAATTTGCCTAAACGGGTAGTGCATACATTCATGAATTGCAGAATGAAATTATTACAACAGCATTCTTGAAGCACCATAGCAGAGCCATATGAAAAGCATCATTAATGAACATGAAGGCAAAGTCTCAGAAAAATTATAACATTTAAGAGAAGAATACATATTCACCAGCGATTCATAGAATTCCTTAATGACTTAAAATATCCTTATGGCCATTGAAATTATACTTTTAAGAGCTGTATCTTTTGATCATAATTTCCGGCATGTGACATACGCTGTCCCCCTTACAAAATCCTAATTTACTGTTAGAGGCATGAAATTACACGTTAATATCACATTCAGGAAATCACATTATAGAGTGATTAAACAACGATTTCATTTTAAATAAGTTGCTGTCTGAGCTAGAATCGATAGAAAAATTAAGGTTCTCCTGAGATAAAAAAAAAAAATAGTTATTTCATCACTGAACTTGTGTTAAGTCTACCTTCTCATGGGACAAAACAATCTAACACCTATATATGACAGCGGACCTTAGATTTACTAGCTGCTCCATCACCAAAGCAATGGTTACTCCGGTTCACTGATTATCCTTAAAATGTATCTGTGATCAACTCCTGGTGGGTGCAAACAGTTCAAAAAAAAGGCATAAATCTTGCCAGGGAATTAAAATTTGGCTTAGAAACCAAATTTTTTCACAAGTTTATGTCAAATTATTTCTTATGGTACAGACACACCTTTGGTCCATCTTAAGCAAAAATTTTACACATAAAGTGCAATCAATCCTGGATGTGATAGTAATAGCATCAAAGATACACTGGCAACAGTCTTCATCCTTCAGTATCTGCTTTGTTAACCATTCTGAAACTAAAATATACCATGGACAAAGATGTGTACACCAGAATATAGAACTTCTGTTGTGATAAATTTAAATAGGATTACCATTTTTGTTTTCACATTGATATTGTAAAAATTTTATTAAAATATTATCAACTTCATTAAAGTGTTCCAAATTTTACAAGAACCTTTCTTTCATTCTTCAATACCAACACAAATTTCCTTGTAGTGTTAAATAATAATGCAAAGCCCTGCATGAAAACCCAAAGAAGCCTGCCATAGATTTCCTTGAGCGTTCACACTACCTACCCTTATTCAAGGGGGGGTTATGTAGAATAAGACAATGAACCAAAGGTTGATGTAAAGACCCAGTTCAAGAAAGGTCGTGAGGGGAGGTTGACATAAAGTTAAAAAAAGAAAAAAAATCCATAAGAACATCAAGTATTGCCTCTGAATTATAAATGTATAATTTTCTGTAACTCACTTGATCACTTAGGCATCCTGCTAGTATCTTGAGACGATCCCCAATGATATCAAGCTCACCACGAACATGCAATCGCAGAAGAAGACTCACAGCATTTAAGTAAACCTATAAGCAGATCAGGTGAGAATTGACAATAAAAGAAATGAAGAAAATTTAAAGCTTTTGTTTGCAATAAAGTTGGCCAAACAATATACCTCTGCAGCAGCATCAGTTCTTTCTAACTCTTTCCATATATGATGGTCATATAACTCAAGGACTCTCTGTGTTGGAGCATTACCTTCTAAATAACAAAGTGCTACATGCCACCAGTTGTGGGTCAGCCTGAAAGAAAAAATATACATGTTCTAGCTCGCTATGAGAAAGTAAGATAAAGCCTTGTAATAATGAAAAATATCCTTACATAAATGATAAACAAGAACTCCATGAAGACGCACATCCTTCCATGAACTGAACTGCTTCTTTGAATTGGCATTCATACTGAAAAACATGGCATAACTGCAGAACAAAATCTGATGGTTTCAATATTTATCTAGGTTATAACTAATTAAAGGTTCTTGAAGCAAACATCTTTGACAGCAACTTATGTTTACGTATGTTACTAATTATAAATCAATTAGATCTGAAACAAACACATTAAATGATTGCAAAATCAATAATTGAATTGCTGATGATAATTGAAGTAGGTGTTTAGTATACAGGAAATTTTACTTGCAGAGCACTAGGAAACCTATTATATAACATGTTTGGATACAACAAATATAAAAATTTTAGAAGTGGGTGCTGTGTAGGATATATGTCAGGCTCAAATTTTGTCCAACATAACAATGACACAGTAAATATTTCTATATAACAAAAACATCAACCCACAGCATGCTGCGCCCAGACATCCTCCTTATTGATTTCAAGTCCCCTTTTGGCGGCTTTCTCAGCATCTCTCATTTGTCCAAGCTCTAATAAAGCAAAAGAAAGCAAGCCGTATACATAATTTTCTCCTTCATTTTCAGCAAGAACCTGTACAACTTAGAAGCTTAAGGAATTGAAATATCCTTGAATAGAAAAATATTATAATTGAAAATCCTCCAGGGATTTAGAATGGTGAAAAGAAAAAAAGCATTTGAAATAGCAAAGGGAAATATGAATTTATTCACAAAGCACGAGATTATTAAGCCAATTTCAATTACTTGATGAAAATGAAACAGAGGAAGCAGAAAACGACAATACATTCTGGTTTGGTGATTCACACTTGACCTTCGTGCACTTCAATTTGGTATGAGTTATAAATTTCAGTTCTGTATTATATGTCATATACATATATACACATTATAAGTCAAATATTAATTAAAAAGCTATTATATATTTATATTGACCATTTTTTCCATTTCTATAAACACGGGAAAAGATTGCCGCTACTAAAACCAAGGTTTTCAAATTCCAATGAAGAAAATCAACTTTTTTACATGCTAATTGTTGCAGAACGAAAAAAAAACTGCTTTCAGATTAGAAAAAAACCTGCTGAACGAGAGACAGAGAAAGATCAGCTTGACCCGTGTAGAAGCAAAGAATTTGTGCTCTCTTCAGAGATGCCAGATCTCTTGGGAACTCTTTCAGAAGCTGCAATGCAAACAGAAGTTGTATTAACCAAGAAGGCATGAGAGCATTATAAATTAATTTCAAAGATAGTACAGGTATTAGAAGTGGGAAAAATATCTGCAGCGTCCAACAACTTTTTCTTCTACTTTATCAAGAGATTGTCAATGTGACCATACACCAGATACAGCATGAAGAGTCGCAGTTCACCATTTTCATTATGTGAATGATCCCTAGACTTCAATTATCAAAGTATTCTGTTTAAAGTTACTTCAACGCAAGCCAGCACTAAAATTATTTGACTACATCCCTAATACCCTCTAAGATCACGTTTTTGGTTTTCATTGTGTTCTCCAGTATTCAGGTCTTTCAGTTAATGCCAAAATAGATAGCAGTTATCGCCTCAAGCTTTTTTTTTAAGAACAGGAAAACTCCTATGAAGAATTTAATGTTGTGTTTATAGTTTGAATCAATTATGTCTTAAACAATATACCTATAACTTCTATAGATATATTGATGAGATATTGATATGGAAGAAAGACCTGAGACGGTACATACAACTTGGGCTTTAATAGATTGTCTGTTAAGTGCATAGGTTGGGGGTCCATTTGAAGCTCTCATATACATTTTAAGGAATTTATGTAAAGGAAGTAAGGAACTGCTAGCAAAACTTCCCCTTTTTGGGAGAAAAAACTGCTAGCAAACTCTACTGGATAGCAATGTGTGTCAAGGTAATATTCCATACAGACTAATTGTTGGCAATTCGCGTAGCACTGATTACTGAAGTTCTTAGATACTATTTAACAGAGAAGAATCAGAACTTAAAAGCCAGAGAATAATTCCATCATTCATAGTTGTCGCCAAATTCACCACCAGAGACCGTAATGATGGATTAAAAAGTAGAAATTTAGGGCAATAAAAATTAGTATCCGTGAAAGAGAGCCCATTAACCTTAACATGAAAGTCAACGGCGACGTCATCGTCTCTGTCTTTAGAAACCAAATAACTGACAGCATCAAAAACTACTTTCTCATACCGGGTAGCTCGTTCCTGTCACAACTGGGCTTCAATTATGCACAATTAAAGAAAACAGAAGCAAAATCATTTTCAATTGTAGCCAAATTTATGAGAGATTACAAGGTTGGCCTTTGCAGCTTCTAGAAAAGAAGTAGCTCGTGAAGGATCGGAGAATTAAGGAAATGGGATGCCAAGATGTTGGCCAAAACGCAGTCTTTATCATGAGCAGCGGCTTCCAGAATCACAGACCGGTCTCTGCCATAGCTGAGCACCTTCATAATCCCGAAGATACTCATTTCAGAGAATTGAAGTTCCACACAAAGTACAAGAAAACAGCAAAAAAGAGAGGAGTTAGAACCAGACCTGATCGTAGAAGGCGTTGATAGATGAAATGCAGGCCTGAGAAGAAGTTCTCACTTCGTATCCCCATTTGTCTAGTCTGACACTGTCTTCTTCCATCTTTCCCCCCTCCTCTTTCATTCTATACTCCTCTCTCTGGGGGCTGAAAAAGGGAAGAGTAGAGTGAAATGAACAATAATTGTTTGTATCCTTGGCCTGAATCTTGCCCGACGCTCGAAGGCTCGACGCTCCAACAAGAAATGTTCCTCCAAAAAATGAAAATGGGAAATTGACTTTATTCACTGATCTTTCAGCACGAAAGGTTAATCAGCACGCTATAACCATCCTTGTCAGCATGATCGCAAGAAAATGCTGTTGTCGCCATCAACTTGTTGAGTTGTGGGCTCGGCATCATGAGGCGATTTTCAGCCATGCTTTTGAAAGATTGAGTCGGTGGATGAACGCTACATGTTTTGGTAGTAACGCTAGATATTTTTTCCTTGCTAGATTCAATGATTTTCTTTGTAGGCAAAAAAAAAAAAAAAAAACGTCAAAACCGATAAAATACTGTATAAAGTGATAATTATTATTTACTTCTAAAAATTTATCACGTTTTCTTTTATGAAATAGCATATTTGTCCCTATTGTATGCGTTGGAAAATAATTATTTTAATTGGACTTTTGATTAAAACGGAATAGAAGTTTATCAGTTAAATGCAAGAATTAAAAATTAGTAACTATTATACATTAGGAGATGATTATTTTAATTGAGCTAGTCAGCAATATACTAAAATTATTATGTTGATCAAGAATGCTTGATTCAACTAATTAAAAGGGTTAAAATTTAACTTTTGAAATATGTAGCCACGTTAAATAAATATGTTAAAGGTATTATTGAGATACCCGTGAGGTTACCATCGGTAATCAACATGCCACATGGCAAATAAGTTATGAGTATCATGTAACATTCTAAGTTTTCAATACAGGGATTTTAAGTGATTATAAGAGTAAAATGATAATTTTTAAGTAAAATTTTTATTAATGAAGTTTTGGGAGACTAATGTACCTAATAGATCTTTGGACAGGCTTAGATGAGAGCTGGATCAAAGTTCAAGCGGGCCGTGGCACAAAGAAAGACCTAAATTTGTACTTTTCAAACTCGTGAAAACGCACCAAAATCAGAAGTAAGAGAAGAAAAAATGCAAGAAAGCAACGAGTAGCAACCTGAGGCTCTTAGGGCTCGACTTGAGGAGTGATTTGGAAGCATTGGGAGCAAGTTTCACCCTTTGGTAAGCTTTCTTACATCTCTCTCTCCATTTTTATGCAAATTTCTGACTTTGGAGGTAATAGGGGCTATGATTTCAATTTCTTTGAGTTTAGACCGAGCCCATTGATTTAGTTAAAGTATTTGGGAGTTAAATTAAGCCTCTAACCCTAGGTTTATCCATTTATGAGTTTTATGGTGATTTGGAATATTTAACTATGGTTTGAACGAATCCTATGTGGAATTTGGTGATTTTAGGACAATGTGAATAGATAATCTATTATGTTAGAGTGTTTGGATGTTAAATAGGATTAATGGAGTGTTTTGAAAGGGTGGATTTTTAATGTGAATTTTAGGTGTTATGGATATTTAGAATCTAGTTATTCTAGGGTTTAATCAGAGTGATAATTAATAATTATCGATTAATTGTGTAGATTAAGTATGTTTAAGTGTTATCATGGAGTGGGAATGTGTGGAGATAATGTTGAATCACGATAATTCTTTTTGTGATAAAGAGGTTGAGGTGACAGAATAATTGACATTATTTGATTAAAGTATTTAACTATTTGTAAGTAGATATGTAAATTGTTTACATATGTTTTGAAAGCTTGGCATATTGCGAAAGATGATTTCTTTGTACATTAGAAATTATTTTAAATTGATAAAGATTTTTTTGAAAGCTCTTTATATGAGAAAATTGTGGTTTTATAATATGTATGGAAGGTATAAGTATGATCATAATAAGGAGTAGAAGTTCTCTTATAAGAAGGAGTGGTGAAAGTTCATATGACATGTATCTTTTTTAATGCCTAGTGAGGCACAGTGTTGGAGATTATTATCCTAGTATCCAAGTAGGATACGGCATTAGAGATCGACACTCTTTAACATCAATGATGAGGTGTTAGAATAATGACATTCTGATTTATGTGTGATAAAGGGAAACTATAATCTGAAAGTAGAATAGGATACTTTGGTCAGGTGATCCTACCACCGAAAGTAAGCTCGGGCTATTGCAAATGTGCATTTAGTTCAAGAGCTTATGGTTTCAATCAAGGTGATATGAAGGTTCGAATGGTAGACGATCATGCTCGAGTGTGAAATGACTTATGGTTTATGGAAAGGATATGTTTGAATGTGCTAAATGAATATTTTTTTATATTAGCTTTACTCTCTTATAGTTGTGCATGTTAATTGATAATAGTGAATTATTCTATTATTGAGATGATTATCTCATTTCATAGTTATATTTTACAAATGAGGGCTCCGGTAGGGGCAAGGGGAGGAAGGAATGATCGAAGAGTGAAGAGCACTGTTTATATAGCTCTTCCTTTTCATGTTGTGGTTTTTGTAATGAATATGCCATAATATTATGCCAATTTAGAATTATTTCATTATTTTGCTATCACTTGTATGAAAATCTGAAAAATGTATGCGTATCTCAACTTAAACTTATAGTAATTGTAATTAAATATGTGTGAATGACCAAGATACTAGTGCAAGTGATATAATCATGTTAACTATGTGTTGGAATGACCAGAATGATATTTTTTGTTGAATTTTATCTACCTCTTTATATTGTTGAAAATTGGAGGTTTGGTGGTTATTTTGTGAAATAATGGTTAATATCGTGATTTGATTAGCCTGATATGTTGGTGTGATCAATTTGAGTTGGTTAAGATGGTTTTTGAACTAATGGCACTTGGTTGTGTGTTTTGGACACAATTAAGGCTGTTATGGTTTAAAAACAAACCATTTTGGGTTCAACTATCTAACTTTCTTATGGATGATCATTTGAGTGTGAGGCCAGTGCTATTAGTTAGAGGGCTCGAAGAGCTTCATGTGAATACTTAAATTACTTAAATTGGATATTGGATAGTGAAACGACACTCTTCAAAAATTCAAAGTATTGTCATGATAGCAGTTTGCTGAGGGACTTATATTTCTATGCTTGGCCTACATTGCGGAGGACGATGCAAATTCTAGAATTTACCAAATTTCTCCTTTATACTCTTAAATACTAATTTGTGTTTTTATGCTTCCATTATCATGTATGATTTGTTTTAAATTATAGTTTGAGCTCAAATGACTTTTGAAAAAAAGGATTGTTTTATGATCTCAATATTTTTAAACTATTTAATTTTAAACCCTTGGGTTGTGATGATTATATTTTGAGATTCTAATTAATCCTGGTTATCACTTATCACAATAGTGTGCTAGAATATTGTCCTAGTAATGTCAAGGCGGATATTACAATTTGGTATTAGTTTTAAGTGTTTCAAGACTGGTATGTGTGATTGACATGTTTGATTGTCTTGTTTGTTATATTTATGTCTAGAAGTTGGCACATATATTCATTATACTTATCTTTCCTTTGTATACTTATCTTACTTATCACTCACTCTTTGTGTGATTATTCTCATACTTATGAGGGGGGAGAGGATAGCAAGAAGATGATCAGCTAGAACTGGTACGGGTGGTAACCTATCTAACACAAATGTGATATCAAAGATTAATAAGCTACCACAAGAAAACTATATTCTGGTTGGTCAAAACTTGGAGCAACCAAGGAATGAACCATAGGGTAATGGAGCCCTTTTACTTGAAATGAGGAACTTGATACAAGAGATTCATAATTCGGTGTGGGGATAAGATGCACCAAGAAATGAAAAGGTGAGAGATGATAGTATAACTATCGAAAATGAAGAAGACTTGTATGAAGAGGAAGATAAAGCATATGAAAAAAGCAAACCCAAGTAATCTGGAATTATGCATGGTAGTGGTTCACAGAATTTCATAAACTGAGTATGGAAGAGTTTTTTACAGTTTTATCTACCTACTTTTGATAGGACTATGAAAGAAGGAGAAGCTAAAGAGTGTTGCAAATATCAATTACTATTCACAAGTTTTGTTCTAATATTCATAATTTTTCATCTTAAGATCACAACAACACAACAAGGAATTATAGTTTATTAATACCATACAAAGTTGACTAAATCAACAAAAATGAATTACTATTCACAAGTTTTGTTTTAATATTCATAATTTTTCATCTTAAAATCACAACAACGCAATAAGGAATTATAGTTTATCAGTACCTTATAAAGTTGACTAAATCAACAAAAATGAATTACTACTGTAATTCAAAAAATAACAATTTTTATTAATTTAAATGACAAGAAAACCTTAAGAAATGACAACGATCTAAGGTTTTATTGTCAATTACATAAGTTTCATAGACGACCCAACATACATGGCCTATAACTTTCAAAATCATGATCTTGCATGGCAGGAGAAGGAGATTTTAGATCTGAAAGTGACAAGAATTGCTCCATCCTACATTCGCATTCCATCCAACTTCATGTGTTATTTACATTTACATTGACGATCACAACTTTGATTACTAAAATAATAAATATCCTATAGCAAATGATAACTTTGTTTAGAGAAATTAACATAATAACTTACACTAGTGCTTTCTCAATTGTTGCTTCTCTATTGTGATTTTCTTTATAACCTATATACACATAACTGCTTCCAACATTATACTCAAATAAGGTAACAATTCTACCATCATTAACAAGGTCTATAAGGGTCTTTTCATCAAAGCTCATAGTGTATTTCATGCCACTAAAATCAATGTCAATGTCAAAATAAGATGATATCATTATTTTCAATTCTTCAAGTGTCATCCCCTCTCAGTTGTCATTTTTATCCTCACACTTTCTCCATCATATTGTATTTTACTTTTAATATTTTTTACAAATTATATCTCTATGTGAAAATAACAAAATAATTCTTCTTTAAAACTAGAAATAGAAAAAGAAGTCATTTCTCTTCTCACCTTGTAACAATAAAATAGTCATTCATCAATATATCTACTTTTCAAATATCATGATCATTTGTTATGTTTTATCCAAAAGTAACTAATTCTCCTTATATTCACAACTTTGTATTGGTTATTCACAATTTTAGTTTATGTATCTACAATACAAATGAAAATGATATTATATTTTTACTTATTTATGAAGAAGACTGTTTAACAGTGCTAATAAGAGGGGGGAAAAAAAGAAAAGAGCAAACGAAGTAAGTAGGCATATAAGTCTTGATCGGTGAACACAGGAATGCAGGCACAGTAGATGGCAAGGCTAACAGCCCATTTGGAATAAAAGCAACAATAA